AAGTTTTTGACAATTTTACAAAATTTGGTACGCTCTTGAAATCACTCACCACATTTTCTATACGTGTTAACTCAAAATATGGATATCCTAGATTAAAAAAATTATACCAGATGTACTATATATAGTTAAGAGCTGTAATTTAAGTATAATATTCCTAAAAGTATGTACTATAAGTGTACGTACTTAGAATTTTGTGTTTTCGAAATTATGAAAGTTTTTGACAATTTTACAAAATTTGGTACGCTTCTGAATTCACTACCACATTTTCTATACGTGTTAACTCAAAATATGGATATCCTAGATTAAAAAAATTATACCAGCTGTACTACATATAGTTAAGAGCTGTAATTTAGGTATAATATTCCTAAAAGTATGTACTGTAAGTGTACGTACTTAGAATTTTGTGTTTTCGAAGAAATTATGAAAGTTTTAGACAATTTTACAAAATTTGGTGCGCTTCTAAAATCACTTACCACATACGTGTTAAAAAAAATTATATCAGATGTACTATATATAGTTAAGAGCTGTAATTTTTGTATGTTTTAGTATGAAGTATACACTATAAGTGTGCATATATAAAATTTGGTGGTTTCTAAGACATTTTAAAGTTTTAAATAATTTACGAAATTTTGACATGCAACGTGGCTCAAATTATGGATATCCTAGATTTAAAAAAATTATACCAGATGTACTATATACAGTAAGAGCTGTAATTTTTGTATGTTTTAGTATGAAGTATACACTAAACGTGTGCATATATAAAATTTGGTGGTTTCTAAAAAATTTAAAATTTTAAACAATTTACGAAATTTTGTCACGCAACCTGTTGGCTCAAAATATGCTAGTTTTAAAAATTTATACCAGCTGTACTATTTGTAGTTAAGAGCTATAAATTTAGTATAATATTCCTTACAGTATATACTATTAGTGTGCATAATAACATTTTATAGTTTCAAACAACTTTATAAAGTTATTAACTAAAAACCAAACAATAGCACAAAAATTGTGTTCGTATTATAAGTGATAGACAACAATTTTGATCGACTAAGTCAATTATTATCGGGAACTTGCCTCAAGGCAAAATGCCACTTTCGACTAGTTTATTATATTTCGGCCTTTCTGCATCTGACACGAATTGTTAGTAAATTGCGAAGGGGATGTTGAAGTTCATCTAGTGGTGCATTTTGTGTATTTGACAAGGGACGATTGACGGTGGCGGAATATGCCCTTTACTTTCCCTTTATTTCATTGTCAAGGTTTAGGTAGTTTGCGATAAAATCTAGGGAGACCGGGGAAAGAGGATGGAATTATCGATCGATATACGAAAATATAAATATACGAAATACCAAAAATCGATAATTAGAATTGATATTTAAAGATACTGTATTTGTATTTAAGTCTTTGTGCTGTGAATGCTTGTTTATAAAAAAAGTTGATATAAAAGGTATGGTATATATATATATATATATATATATATATATATATATATATATATATATATATATATATTATATTAGTATAGAGAGATACAATGACACCTGTGCTATATAAACTTCCTGAGGTGTGTTTTTTATTTCCGGTCATCTGATTGAACGGAAGCAAAACTACGGCCTGACACGCCATACGATTTTCTGCATATATACATATATATATATATATATATATATATATATATATACATATATATACATACTACTAATAAATTTATATAAAGTTTCAAAAGAAATTACGTTGTCACATCTATACAAATAAATTATTGAACAAATTTGTCTCACATCTCGCTCATATAAATTAACATTTTAGGATTTATAATCATTTTCAGGAATAAATGCACGAATTACTGATTCATTATTTTAAGAGAGTCTTGTTATTTGTGTGTGTGTGTGTATGTCCATGTGGGTCAGAGATCAGACAATAGGCCAAACATTTTCTGATGATAAAGTCGAGATCCTCCAATTAACACAATTGTACTGACACAATGAAATTCAATTAAATGTTTAGAAAATTTATTCATTGTTGACATGTCACTCAAGCGGAAAGTAAACCTATAGATTACATAACAATTATATATGTATATATATATATATATATATATATATTATTTCAACACGTGAATGAAAATTCCAGCTCGATATCAAACAGTAGTGATCAGATTCTTTTACTATTATAGACTTCAAATATATGAGGAGAACAGACTTTTGTGAAGAATAATTGTTAATTTTTTACATTTATAGAATATTATTTTTATTTGATATTTGATTGTTAAATAAATACAAATTTGTTTCTCTAATACGAATTTGATCTACCTCTACATTTTATACTCACAAATCGACATCAAATTCGATATTTAATATCATCGGTGACAAGAATGGCTCAACATATGAATATATGTATGGTTTATTTTTCGTTGTTTATAGAATATCTACCAAATTAGTAATTATATGTTAATAAAATGTAAAAAGAATTTTTACATAATTGAACTATCTTTAAGGTTTTCTCAGATGAAACTTATCTAGAACTACAATTTATACTCAAAAATCGATATCGAAATTAACTAATTATGTAAATCAGCAAGAAGATAAGTTGATAGATAACTTATAAATTACTTGTTCTAAGTTAATATAATATTCACAGGATTTTTAGATAAGTAATTAATTTATAACTTTTGCTCATACTAAATTTGTCTAGAATGAATGAATGAATTTAAAAATCGATCTTGATTATCATTATATTCAGTTCCATGAGTGGTGCACAGTGCATAGAATTTCTCTTGTAACTTTTGAACTGTTTGACCGATTTGAATAAAATCTTTGACAAACTTATGCAAAATTTAATAACAAATAATACTTTTTAACATTATAAAGACCTACAGCAAGTCGGTATACTTAAAAATCGCGATTGATTACAGGACCTTGCAAATCCTCAACCTAAACACAATTTTGAATTCATTTACTATTTCTCTTGTAACTTTTGAATCGTTTGTCTAAATTAAATAAAATATATGAGAAACTTATGCAAAATTAAATAACAAACAATACATATTAATAATATAATGCTCTACAGCAACTCGGTATACTTTAAAATCGCAATTTAGTACTGGACGTTGCAAATCTTCAGAATCAACACGACTGTGCATTTGTTTACTATTTTTGTTGTAACTTTTGAACGGTTTGTCTAATTTAAACAAAATATTTTACAAAATGTACAAAATTAACTAGTGCACAAATTGGTGTAATACAGCAATACCCTACAGCAACTCGGTATACTTCAAAACCGCAAACATTCTAACAAAACTGCTTGCACTACTCCAAGTTTTCGTGTAAATCGTTAAAGTAAATACAAATTAATTATTTCCTCTTACCTCCATTTTTGGTTCCGTTGTTATGAATGGTGACCCAGAAGTCGATGGTCTTGTCCGGTCCCAATTCCTCGTAGTCCCAACGTTTCTTCACCCTGACAGCACCATTAGGTTCCACAGTGACCCAAGCATTTTCGTCCCTAATCTTGAAAGTTTCCCTATCAGTCTCCTTCTCCAATTGAAAAACACTTCGTCCTTCAAGATCACCATCAGATTCAGCAAATTCGACACGTTTGGTGGGTCTTACAGCCCTGGTAACCCTACGTTTTTGCCTAGAATGGTAAAAGACACCAGTGTCTTCACCAGGTTGAAGATTGTTGGTGTCTAAGTCATCGTAGTAGTCCTGGTGGCGTTTGGAGTCACTTAGAATATCCCTGAGGTCATCATGTTTGTCTAAAACATCATTCAAGCCGTCTTCGAGTTTCATGTCGTGTTTGGCGTACTTCAAAAATTGTGACTCCGGTGCCAAATCTTTGTCATCGAGTTCGAAGTCTCGGTTCAGTTTTTCGTCCAAGGGCGGTTTGAAGTCGATGACGACACTTGCAGATCTTTTGCTGAACCTGTTTTTGGGTTCACCTAAATCATGGGCTTGAACTGCCAAAACATACTCGTCTTCAGTAGGTTGATCCACGAGCAAAATGTCTCCAGTTTGGGGTACAATAACAAAAATGTTACTGGGGTTTGATAGTTTGTACACGATTTTGTCACCGTCTTTGTCAAAAGCTTTGACAGTGCCTACGGTTTCAAATCTTTTGTACAAGACTGTTTCGTTTTCACGCCTATAACCACGTACTATAAATCTGTACACGGTTTTTTCAAAAACAGGATTGTTGTCGTTGATATTTAGGACTTTTATATCGACGTCAACCAAAGCTTTGTTTATCCCTTGGGCGTCATTTGCTTGCAAAGTCAACAAGTACCTGTTTTGTGTCTCGTAATCCAGATGATTCCTCAAGACCAACCAGACTCCAGGACCGTACTCAGGATCATCCTCCAGGGCAAAAGTACCATTTTCATTGCCCTTTACTATGGAGTACACCAAAGGTGTCTTCCTGGACATACTTGCAGCCCTCAACATTGGTAAATTGTAGACTCTTGCACCAGGCAAAGCACTTTCAGAAATTTCGCCAACTATACCATCCAAATTTGTAAATTGCAACATGTCCTTCCTATTAACCACATACAGCCTCAAGTCTTTTCTCGAGGTACCATTCTCAGATTTTTCCAAAACCTGCAAGTTTATCGGACGGTTTGTCAAAGGTCCCAAGTCACCTGTAGTCATCACCAAACCATCTTTCAACACCGTAAAATAATCCGAGTACTTCGTATTTAATAATTTATAATTCTGGCTAAAATTGGTGTGATGGTCATTTAAATTTTTGACTGCAAATCCTGCAGGAGCGTCGTTAGGTATCACTGATATCGTGGTGAAGTCCAATTTGGTGTCATCAAATATCATTTCGCCCAAAACACTGGTGACCAAGGCCAGGCATAACAATGTGGACCTTGGGTAATTTTTGAATTTCATCTTTGGTTCAATTTTGGGTCAGCGGTTTGAGAAAAAAATGGTCCAAAAAATTTTGGTTGGTTTTTTCTTTATTATCAGTTCAGCGATAAGGGATCCATTTTGGGACCAGTGGCCTTTTGGGCCTTTACACACTTTGGATACTGCCTTTGGATTTTATCTGAAAATAAAAAAAAACATATTAGTTTTATAAAAAATATTTTGGCCCACTGTACTATTTATAGTACAACATTATGTAATCACAATCTAGACTTATTATTAACTTCCCGTAGGGTAAGTTATTGTAATGGGCCGAAAATCGGAATTGAAAATTTTTACATTTCTCGACGTTTTGAAGGTTTCTGAACGTTTTGGCATACCTCAGAAAAATGGATGTGTGTGTGTGTGTGTGTGTGTGTATGTATGTATGGATACAAATTTTCGTCCACGTTTTCGGGCGTACGGATCAACCGATTTGAATGGTTCAAAAAACATTCGATTCCTATTGATAGGGAAAAGAGCTGATTAGTTTTTGGCAAAGGCAGGTCCAGCCGTTTCGGAGATACGGAGCAAAGAGTGCAGAAAATAGAAATCGAATTTTTCAGAGAACGAAGTATCCGATTTGAATGATCTAAAAAACATTCAATTAGTAATGATTGGGAGAAGTGTTTATTAGTTTTTGGCAAAGGCAGGCCCAGCCATTTTGAAGATACGGAGCTAAATATATAACAAATGGCAATTTTTGAGAGAACTAAGCGTCCGATTTAAATGATTCAAAGAACTTTCTGCTTGTCTTAACAAAATAATTAACAAAAGTTGTTCCAATTTTTTTTTTTTTGTATATCGAAAATATTTCAGATTTTATTTTTAATTCTGACTATAGTTCTAATATACTTTACAAATAATTTCAACTCTGCAATTCAGTTTATATATTTCTTATAAATATTAGACAATGTTACAATATTTATAATAATCTATTTGTAAACATTCAGTATTCCACGAACATTTCGTTACGGTACGGAAAGTTCCAGCAATTTGCCTTAAGGCACGATGCCATAATTGCCTCAAGACAGAATTCCACTTACAGCTAGTTTATTACTTGTATTTGTTATAACTTCTGAACCGTTTGTCTAAAATCAATAAAATATTCGACTAATTTGTGCATAATTAAATTGCAAATAATATTGTCTAACATAATAATGCCCTACAGCAACTCAGTATACTTTAAAAGAACACAAAAATTGATCCCAAGGCATTACAATTTTAAAACGTATGTAAATCATAAACCACTCGATTAATAAAAATGTAGTATGAGACAAAATTGTTCAAAATTAATTGATCTATTATTTTTTTTAACAAAATAAAAATATATGTATACATTTTCATATAAGGTTGTCAAATATCTCCCTTCCGCCTTTTTGTAATATAAACCAAGAGCAAAAAAGCGGAAGGGAGATATTTGACAACCTAATATGAATATTTTATTCTAAATATAGATATACATAAATAAATTTATCACGTTACTTTTATATATAAAAAGAGGCCGATTAAATAATCCTTTGATATATATCGAATTTATATATAAATGGACAACGTATAATTATATATTCACACTTCATTTATATATATATATATATATATATATATATATATATATATCTTTTCTAAAAATCTATCAGACGCCCCGTCGAGAACAATTTGTATAAGCAAATAACAACAGACATACTATACACTTTCCTTCTTTTTCTAACGTATACAAATCAAAGAGAACATACGTCTGATTTCATAGCATAAACCAGAGGTTACTTCTGTTACACAGATTGTCAATATTAGGTCCGCATTGTTGAGTAAAAATTAAAAAAAATTTAGTATTTTGAGTATAACTTAAAAATTTGTTAGAAAAATTCCAAAACTGCATTCGGCAAATTTGAAGATGATAAAATTTTCTACAAATCCTTTTAATATTATGTATATAAATTGTTAGTATTTATACTGAAAAAGGTGCCCCCGAAAATGTATAATATGCTAAAGCAGTACTTGAGGTACATTTTTCTAACATTTTAAGAGTATAACTTAAAAATTTGTTTAAAAAAGATCCAAAACTGTCCTTAGCAAAATTAAAGTTGACAAATTTGTGCACAATTTCTACTAATATAATATTTGCAAATTATTAATAATAACAGAATAATATAAGGTCTAAGGATAATACTAAAAATATAAAAACTTTTATTGAATTTTAAAGAGCGATTTCAAATACGCCAAGTTGTTGTATAACATTATAATATATCAAAATGTTTCGAATATACAATTTACATTAAACAAACAGTTTAAAAGTTACAAGTATTATTATAAATGAATGCACATACAAATTGTCGCACCCAATGTTCTCTCTAAAATAGCCATTTAATCGGATTTTCTATTTATTTATTTTTTTCTCATTTTTTTTGGTTCAAATACAACCCTGTGTAGGTATCATAACAAATCAAGAGACCCATAGAGGTCTGTCAGACCCTTCCGAATACATTTTCAACACGCGCGCCTTTTAATTTTATTCATTTTGTTCCTTTTTAGGTTTTTTTTTTTTGGTCCGTCGACATAACAAAGATTATATTATGTATTGCTCTGGCGAGAAGTTTATAAATGGAGATTTTATTTAAATATTTAAATATGTATGTTTATATATATATATATATATATATATATATATATATATATATATATATATGTATATAATGGATCAAAGATCCCTACATTTAATTCTTCAAAATCGAAATTGAACCCAACAATCAACTCAATGGTCTCAACCTGTAATTATTAAATGTGATAATAAAATTCATAGAGCTCGTATTAACTGTACTAAAGTACTGAAATTTTTATATAAAATTCTTTAAAGTATCTACTAAAAGCACAAATACTAAAATCGATACTGGTTCATACAAAAATATTGAATGAAAATTATTTTCATATAGTACTACAAAATGAAGTCTCCAAAATGTTGCATCCTTAAATTTTATTTTTTTATAAAAAAAATTCTCACCAAAGTCACCAATTTTAGTATGCAACTTTTTAGTACACACTTTAAACTATAATATACTAAATTTTCACAATTTTTTATCAATCCGTTCGTCCTGAAGAGCTCTTTAATCTAGAATCGCTTTTTATTCTTCAAAATCGCTATTGAACCTAACAAATTGCACCAATCAACTCAATGGTCTCAAACTGGAATTACTAAATTTGATAATAAAATTCATAGAGCTCGTATTAACTGTACTAAAGTACTGAAATTTTTATATAAAATTCTTTAAAGTATCTACTAAAAGCACAAATACTAAAATCGATACTGGTTCATACAAAAATATTGAATAAAAATTATTTTCATATAGTACTACAAAATGAAGTCTCCAAAATGTTGCATCCTTACATTTTATTATTTTATAAAAAAAATTCTCACCAAAGTCACCAATTTTAGTATGCAACTTTTTAGTACACACTTTAAACTATAATATACTAAATTTTCACAATTTTTTATCAATCCGTTCGTCCTGAAGAGCTCTTTGATCTAGAATCGCTTTTTATTCTTCAAAATCGCTATTGAACCTAACAAATTGCACCAATCAACTCAATGGTCTCAAACTGGAATTACTAAATTTGATAATAAAATTCATAGAGCTCGTATTAACTGTACTAAAGTACTGAAATTTTTATATAAAATTCTTTAAAGTATCTACTAAAAGCACAAATACTAAAATCGATACTGGTTCATACAAAAATATTGAATAAAAATTATTTTCATATAGTACTACAAAATGAAGTCTCCAAAATGTTGCATCCTTACATTTTATTTTTTTATAAAAAAAATTCTCACCAAAGTCACCAATTTTAGTATGCAACTTTTTAGTACACACTTTAAACTAAAATATACTAAATTTTCACAATTTTTTATCAATCCGTTCGTCCTGAAGAGCTCTTTAATCTAGAATCGCTTTTTATTCTTCAAAATCGCTATTGAACCTAACAAATTGCACCAATCAACTCAATGGTCTCAAACTGGAATTACTAAATTTGATAATAAAATTCATAGAGCTCGTATTAACTGTACTAAAGTACTCAAATTTTTACATAAAACTCTCTAATGTATCTACTAAAATACTAAATACTAAAATCGATACTTCTTCATACAAAAATATTGAATAAAAATTATTTCAATCTTATACTACAAAATGAAGTCTCCAAAATGTTCCATTCCAACTTTTTTTTTTCACAATAAATTTTCCCACCAAAGTCACCAATTTTAGTATGCAACTTTTTAGTACACACTTTAAACTATAATATACTAAATTTTCACAATTTTTTATCAATCCGCTCGTCCTGAAGAGCTTTTTAATCTAGAATCGCTTTTTATTCTTCAAAATCGCTATTGAACCCAACAAATTGCACCAATCAACTCAATGGTCTCAAACTGGAATTACTAAATTTGATAATAAAATTCATAGAGCTCGTATTAACTGTACTAAAGTACTCAAATTTTTACATAAAACTCTCTAATGTATCTACTAATATACTAAATACTAAAATCGATACTAGTTCATACAAAAAAATTAAATAAAAATTATTTTAAATTTGTACTACAAATGAAGTTTCCGAAATGTTCCATCCTTACATTTATTTTTTTACAAAAAAAATTCTCACCAAAGTCACCAATTTTAGTATGCAACTTTTTAGTACACACTTTAAACTATAATATACTAAATTTTCACAATTTTTTATCAATCCGTTCGTCCTGAAGAGCTCTTTAATCTAGAATCGCTTTTTATTCTTCAAAATCGCTATTGAACCCAACAAATTGCACCAATCAACTCAATGGTCTCAAACTGGAATTACTAAATTTGATAATAAAATTCATAGAGCTCGTATTAACTGTACTAAAGTACTCAAATTTTTACATAAAACTCTCTAATGTATCTACTAAAATACTAAATACTAA